ACCAACAATACCACCAGTCCGATAACATTCTTCTTTGAAAATATACAGGGTCTAAACCCGGGCAACAAACAACAAAATACCTTTCATCCGGGGGACTGCTTGCAGAGGCAAAGGCAATGTTCGCGGCTTTCACTGAGACCTACATAAAGGATCACTTGGACAACGAAATATGGACCCCAAAGGTTACAACCTTTTACAGATGTGACAGAGTGAACAGGCAAAAGGGGGTGGTTGGCCTGTACATTGCAGAGTCACTTGTTTGCACAGAACTGCTTAATGCCTCAAATGATGTAGTGGAAGTTTTAGCAGTAAAGGTCGAGAACCAAACCCTAGTCATTGTGGTAGTCTACAAGCCTCGGATGCAACATCCCAGCAATTCCAGGAACAGCTGTTAAAATGACCACTGTTGGAAAATCTTCCAGCTCCTGCACCCAACATCTTGCTCCTGGGGTATTTCAACTTAAGGCACCTAAAATGGAGGAATATAGCAAATAATATTGTTGCAGTAATAACACCAGGAGGCAGCTCTGATGAAAACTCACACTCACACGAGCTTTTAAATCTTGCACAAAATTAAATTTTAAAAACCAGCAAATAATAGAGCCTACTAGACTGGAGAATACACTAGACCTCATCTTCACTAACAATGATGATCTGATAAGAAATGTCACCATATCAAAAACAATATACTCAGATCACAACATAATTGAGGTTCAGACATGTATGCGTGGAGCCCAGACCGACATAATGAGACTAGTTACGAGGGAGCATTCACCAAATTCAACTTCAATAACAAAAACATAAAGTGGGACCAAGTAAACCAAGTCCTAACCGATATAAGCTGGGAAGATATACTAAGCAACACAGACCCCAACTTATGCCTAGAACAGATTAACTCGGTGGCACTCGATGTATGCACAAGGCTTATTCCTCTAAGAAAAAGGAGGAGTAGATGTAAAATAGAAAGAGACAGGCGCTCCCTTTACAGGCGACGGAAAAGAATAACAGAGCGGCTAAAAGAGGTCAATATATTTGAAATGCGTAGGGAGACACTGGTCAGAGAAATAGCAAGCATCGAACTTAAGCTAAAAGAATCCTTTAGGAGTCAGGAATCGCGGGAAGAACTAAAAGCCATAAATGAAATCGAAAGGAACCCAAAGTATTTCTTCTCCTATGCCAAATCAAAATCGAGAACAACGTCCATTATTGGGCCCCTACTTAAACAAGATGGGTCCTACACAGATGACAGCAAGGAAATGAGTGAGCTACTCAAGTCCCAATATGACTCAGTTTTTAGCAAGCCGCTAACCAGACTGAGAGTCGAAGATCAAAATGAATTTTTTATGAGAGAGCCACAAAATTTGATTAACACAAGCCTATCCGATGTTATCCTGACGCCAAATGACTTCGAACAGGCGATAAATGACATGCCCATGCACTCTGCCCCAGGGCCAGACTCATGGAACTCTGTGTTCATCAAGAACTCCAAGAAGCCCCTATCACGAGCCTTTTCCATCCTATGGAGAGGGAGCATGGACACGGGGGTCGTCCCACAGTTACTAAAAACAACAGACATAGCCCCACTCCACAAAGGGGGCAGTAAAGCAACAGCAAAGAACTACAGACCAATAGCACTAACATCCCATATCATAAAAATCTTTGAAAGGGTCCTAAGAAGCAAGATCACCACCTGGAGTTACCTGGAGTTTACCTGGAGAGAGTTCCGGGGGTCAACGCCCCCGCGGCCCGGTCTGAGACCAGGCCTCCTGGTGGATCAGAGCCTGATCAACCAGGCTGTTGCTGCTGGCTGCATGCAAACCAACGTACGAGCCACAGCCCGGCTGATCCGGAACTGACTTTAGGTGCTTGTCCAGTGCCAGCTTGAAGACTGCCAGGGGTCTGTTGGTAATCCCCCTTATGTGTGCTGGGAGGCAGTTGAACAGTCTCGGGCCCCTGACACTTATTGTATGGTCTCTTAACGTGCTAGTGACACCCCTGCTTTTCATTGGGGGGATGGTGCATCGTCTGCCAAGTCTTTTGCTTTCGTAGTGAGTGATTTTCGTGTGCAAGTTCGGTACTAGTCCCTCTAGGATTTTCCAGGTGTATATAATCATGTATCTCTCCCTCCTGCGTTCCAGGGAATACAGGTTTAGGAACCTCAAGCGCTCCCAATAATTGAGGTGTTTTATCTCCGTTATGCGCGCCGTGAAAGTTCTCTGTACATTTTCTAGGTCGGCAATTTCACCTGCCTTGAAAGGTGCTGTTAGTGTGCAGCAATATTCCAGCCTAGATAGAACAAGTGACCTGAAGAGTGTCATCATGGGCTTGGCCTCCCTAGTTTTGAAGGTTCTCATTATCCATCCTGTCATTTTTCTAGCAGATGCGATTGATAAAATGTTATGGTCCTTGAAGGTGAGATCCTCCGACATGATCACTCCCAGGTCTTTGACGTTGGTGTTTCGCTCTATTTTGTGGCCATCAGTTACACAACCCAGGGCAACATGGGTTTAGAACAGGTCGCTCCTGTCTGTCTCAACTATTGGATCACTACGACAAGGTCCTAAATGCACTAGAAGACAAAAAGAATGCAGATGTAATATATACAGACTTTGCAAAAGCCTTCGACAAGTGTGACCATGGCGTAATAGCGCACAAAATGCGTGCTAAAGGAATAACAGGAAAAGTCGGTCGATGGATCTATAATTTCCTCACTAACAGAACACAGAGAGTAGTCGTCAACAGAGTAAAGTCCGAGGCAGCTACGGTGAAAAGCTCTGTTCCACAAGGCACAGTACTCGCTCCCATCTTGTTCCTCATCCTCATATCCGACATAGACAAGGATGTCAGCCACAGCACCGTGTCTTCCTTTGCAGATGACCACCCGAATCTGCATGACAGTGTCTTCCATTGCAGACACTGCAAGGCTCCAGGCGGACATCAACCAAATCTTTCAGTGGGCTGCAGAAAACAATATGAAGTTCAACGATGAGAAATTTCAATTACTCAGATATGGTAAACATGAGGAAATTAAATCTTCATCAAAGTACAAAACAAATTCTGGCCACAAAATAGAGCGAAACACCAACGTCAAAGACCTGGGAGTGATCATGTCGGAGGATCTCACCTTCAAGGACCATAACATTGTATCAATCGCATCTGCTAGAAAAATGACAGGATGGATAATGACAGCCTTCAAAACTAGGGAGGCCAAGCCCATGATGACACTCTTCAGGTCACTTGTTCTATCTAGGCTGGAATATTGCTGCACACTAACAGCACCTTTCAAGGCAGGTGAAATTGCCGACCTAGAAAATGTACAGAGAACTTTCACGGCGCGCATAACGGAGATAAAACACCTCAATTACTGGGAGCGCTTGAGGTTCCTAAACCTGTATTCCCTGGAACGCAGGAGGGAGAGATACATGATTATATACACCTGGAAAATCCTAGAGGGACTAGTACCGAACTTGCACACGAAAATCACTCACTACGAAAGCAAAAGACTTGGCAGACGATGCACCATCCCCCCAATGAAAAGCAGGGGTGTCACTAGCACGTTAAGAGACCATACAATAAGTGTCAGGGGCCCGAGACTGTTCAACTGCCTCCCAGCACACATAAGGGGGATTACCAACAGACTCCTGGCAGTCTTCAAGCTGGCATTGGACAAGCACCTAAAGTCAGTTCCTGATCAGCCGGGCTGTGGCTCGTACGTTGGTTTGTGTGCAGCCAGGTGGCCTGGTCACAGACCGGGCCGCGGGGGCGTTGACCCCCGGAACTCTCTCCAGGTAAACTCCAGGTATGTTCACCCGTCAGTAAAATGGGTACCTGGGTGTTAAGATAAGATAAGATAAGATAAGATTTCGTTCGGATTTTTAACCCCGGAGGGTTAGCCACCCAGGATAACCCAAGAAAGTCAGTGCGTCATCGAGGACTGTCTAACTTATTTCCATTGGGGTCCTTAATCTTGTCCCCCAGGATGCGACCCACACCAGTCGACTAACACCCAGGTACCTATTTGCTGCTAGGTGAACAGGACAACAGGTGTAAGGAAACGTATCGAAATGTTTCCACCCGCCGGGAATCGAACCCGGGCCCTCCGTGTGTGAAGCGGGAGCTTTAGCCACCAGACCACCGGGACTGGTGTGGGTCGCATCCTGGGACACTCACCTAATTTACCCGAAATACTCAGTATAAGTGGCTATCTATATAGTAGTATATCATTGATGTCAGCTATGGTCTTTATACCTTGTACATGTACTGGTAGTAAATAAAGATATTTTAATTTTTTTAGTAACGTGTGTAAATCACCTAGTATTATTATTATTATAATCAAAAAGAAGCGCTAAGCCATAAGGGCTATACGGCGCTTAAATCACCTAGGATAACCCCCCCCCCCCAAAAAAAAAAAAAAAAAAAAAAAAGTCAGAGTGACTTCTTTCCATTAGGTTCCTTGTACTTGAATTGTAATCATAGGGAAGAGCTCGACCCGTAAGGACCATACGCCTTGGGAATGGGAGGTAATCATATTTGATTGGAGGAAGGTGAGTATAGCTCCATTTCTTTGGATCAAGATCCCTCCACCAGTCACACAGGAAGGTGTCATATGTTTGCTTACACTACTATACACAACGTTCGACTCCGCTACTATGTATATAGTTTTATTAGTTCCTCTAATGCAGAAAAGTCAAATGAGTCTTTTAAGTTGAATATCTAGATAAACCTCACGTTATCTCTTAGAATTATTTTTAATAGTAGTTTGCAAACCTCCATATAATTTAAATTTGAATTGGTTAAAGTCATCGACAGCCATTCGAACAAGATCACAGACAGAAAACGGAAGAATGTAAACCAACTGCCATTCCCCTCACATTTACCATTATACTTCCATCATACACCCCAGAAATGACATGTTTATCACGAGTAAGGATATATGAGGCAAATTAGATGCTAGCAGATGATGTTTGGAGGATATTAAGGCTGTTTTGACTTCCCATTTTCGTTCATTCATTCAACTTCAAATTAGTGATAACATGGCGGTGACTCCTTTTACCAAATTGTTGCATCCCTTCTTATTTTGACTTGTTTACCAACACTGGGTTTTTATTTCTTTGTTCTAGCAGTTTTTATGGTGAGTACTGAGTCTCAAGATCATTTTAAAAAGAAAAGGAATTTCACTAATAGATAAAAAGTCAATGAAAATATTGCAAGTTACATTTGGCGGGCAAAAGTAGTTTGGATGTTCCGAGTCAAACGAGATATGAATTTGATCCTGTGTGCAGAGGAGCCTTCCTGGGGGAGGCACAGCGATGATGGGGGAGGTCTCTTGGTCCAGGGAATTGGAGCTACTCTTCTTTTATTTCCTTTTATGAAATTGGATTACCTCGCATTCCCCAGCCTCTTGAGGGAGGTTCCTTGCCGTTGGTGAAGGGCTCTTGATCTAGGGAATTGGATCTGTGCTCCAGTTCTCTGAATTGAGCCAGAATACCTTCCATGCACCCCACATGTGCTATATAATCCTACGGGTTTAGCTCTTTATCCTCCAAGATACGTTACTAAGCACCACCATCAGCCCTACTCTATACTATTCACTCGTCTATCCCTACCTCACCTATGCTATTTATGCCTGGGATCAACAGCAGCAACCCACCTAAAGCCAATAATAATCCAACAAAAGCCGCAGTAAGAATTATATCAGGCAATCCAATGCTAGGCAACCCCCCCCCCACTCTTCATAGACCTAAACTTACTGTACAGAACATCCACACTTAGTACTGTGCAACCTACATTTACAAAACCATAAATTCTAATATTAACCCTGGACTAAAACACTTTCTTGATAGTTGCAACAGGACCCATAGACACAATACCAGACACAAAAATCCCTATGACATTCCTTGTATCCGGCAAAATATATACAAAAATTCAATGTGCATAAAAGGGCATAAAATCTGGAGAACTCGAGAACTGCAGACTCAACCACCATTTTCAGAACTACCGTTAAAAAACATCTTATCACCCTAACACACCCCATCATCAGCTAACTGTGAAAAACCACCTATTCTCTTTTTTGTATCATGAACACATCCAAAACAAAATAGACTTTACTCGTTATCTGTAAGTCCCCCAAATTTACACTTACACTCACCCTCACTTTATGTAAATAAAGTTCCTAATGTAGTTCTTGCCTAATAAATCTTAAATTAGTCCTAAGTTTGCCTGAAATACTCTCCCAATATATCATACTGAGATAAAAGTATTCCCATTACTAAATTTACTAATTGTAATACAGTGGACCCCTGCTTTATGATCACCTCCCAATGCGACCAATTATGTAAGTGTATTTATGTAAGTGCATTTGTACGTGTATGTTTGGGGGTCTGAAATGGACTAATCTAATTCACAATATTCCTTATGGGAACAAATTCGGTCAGTACTGGCACATGAACATACTTCTGGAATGAAAAAATATCGTAAACCGGGGGTCCACTGTATTGCAATTTTCAGAAATCTTGGGACTAAGAGTACTGATATATGTCAAACATAAAAGCTGTACGACCTCTCCTCACTTAACGACTGGGTTCCATTTCTAAGAGTAGGTCAGTAAGCAAAATGGTCATTAAAGGAGGAGCATACTATACTGGTAGTGGGTTGTGTTGACCTTCTTTAAATATTTTTTTAATGTCACCTTTCCACCATTTGTAACATTTCTGGTATATTTTTAAATGTTTATGCAATACTTTACTGTATGCTGTAATAAACAGAATAGAGGAAATTGGCTCAAATATACATTATTTAGGTTTGCATACTGGTTGGAGAGCTGGCCATAGGTCCTAGTGGTCAGTAAACAAGTACGTTGCTAAGTACGGACAGGCTATACTGTATGTAGAATATGAAAACATAAGAAAGTAGTTGCAATATTAAGAAATTTTTGTTAGTAAATGACTAGAAAATTGTATGGTTGAATTTTATGGTAGTGGGAACATTCAGTTTTTTAAAGGGGATAGTGAATTTTATTAATTGATTGTTCCCTCTTATTTGGTGCAGTGACCATAAGTTTTTTGTTACAGATACCAGTAGTTTTTATTCATCTCAATAAGTCATCAAGATGCCGCACATACCTTCAACGCAGGAGTTAGATGCACGTTTCTCAGTTTTTCTAAACCCAATCCGTGACCTGACAAAAAACTGGGAAGTGGATATTGCCAAGGTAAGAATGTTTTCAGTCTAATTTAAAAATTCTGTGTCCTCCCTGTGGTGTAAATGCCTTTTTTTTTTTAGCATATTCTTTGGTAGTACAATATTTTAAATAAGCCTGTCCACATAAAGAAAAAAGTTTTAATACTACATGCAATTTTTAATGCTATATGCCTTCTCTCCCAAGTTAAGAATGGTTAAATTTTACTTTCATTTCTTCATTAGCATTCATATTCTATTTGAAATTTCTTTCTTATGTTGCTTTTCTGTTGTGCTTTGGCCATGAAATTTTCATTTAAGATTACCTAGATTGATGAAATTATATTAATTCTCCATTTGTACAAAAAAGGTTAAGTTATCAGTAGGATAATAGATAATCTTCTGTTTTATAATACTATGTACTATACTATTAAGAAACACACAGGAAAGTAAAGTGTATGTATATTGAATGTAAGTATAAATTTATATGATTTATAGTATAATTCATACTGTTCCTGGAAGAACTGGTATTGAATTTCACACTGAATTTACTTCATACAAGAATGGAAGGTTCACTAGATGGTACTAAAATACTACAATGAAAAGTAGAGATGCAAAAAGGACACTGAGTTTGACTTAAGCATAAACAGCCAAAGCTTTTCAATACCATTCCTTCAAATATAAAAGTTTAGCAGTGTTGCTCTGCAAGAGAACATTTTATTAGAACCTGGTTACCATCACTGATTAGCCAGATTGTGTTGATTATGGTAGACTATCAGAATAATAGCTGCAAGCACCACAGTCTGGTTAAGACAGTCATCGATCAGAAGGCCTGATCAGTGATGTGGTATGAGTAAAGATATATTTTCCTAGCAAAATGTGTGTCCTAATTGAGATGTACTGATGTTGGCAAAAAAAAAAAAAGAAAAATATCTATCCTATTTTGCATTCTTTTTCAGTATTTAGAGGAGTATCTTGAGGAACTAGCTGAAGTACAAATTACCTTTGATGGAGGGGAAACTCTAATGAATTTTGCTGAGGCAGCCATGTTAATTCAGGGCTCAGCAACAGTATACAGCAAAAAGGTATTTGTACTTTTTATTATATTTTTTATCACTTGGGTTGAATAAGAAAGAAGAGAAATCATATACAACAAAGAAAGAGGTAAAATAAGTGATTGCAGGTGTGTTCAGGAGAAGTGTGATATTAAAATATAAAAAGAAACTTGATATGAAATGTCAGTTCTTGCAGTTCAGATCAGTCAGCTGGGCCCTGACCAAGTCACTTGCTCTTTTCAGTAACTTGTTCTTGTTCCACTGCATCCTACAGTTTTTTTCTTCTGCTACCTTTCTTTTGCTGGCTAACAACAGTGCTATCACCAGACTGTTTTTTCCATTTTGAGGAAAAATCTTTCTACTTTCCTTCTTTGTTGAACACCTATACTCTCCTATATCAATGCTGTTCAAGAGGCATCCTAGCTGTTGATCAAACATCCTTTGAGGTAGAGATCCTGAAGCATCTGCTATCTCCAGGCACTTGTGTAAACTCTGGGCTGACTCTTTGCCACCTCTCCTGGTCATGTCTGTTACTTTTCTAGTTCTGTACAATGAGATGATTGTCATTGGATAAGAAAATTTGCATCAAATGAAGTAGGCTGTTGGAGAACAGGTTACTGTCAATGACTTTTGCAATTGCCAGCAAAACCTGCTCTAACTATCCCTCTTATAGAGGAGGCTTTGAGTTTTATGGGCTTGAGCATATAGCAAGCTTGTGTGAGCATGTTAATTGGGAGCGAATAGAAACAGGTAGTTTTTTTTTATGGATGTGCTGTTTGAGTGTGAGCAAGGTAACTTCTGTGAAAGGATTGAGAGGAAACCAGTTAGTTGGACTTGAGTCCTGGCAGTGGGAAGGGCAGTGCCTGTACTCAGAAAGTCTTCTGAATTGTTATATGTAGGTATACTTTTGGAAGAATAGTAGTAGAATAATTGATGGTGATTGTGTTTTCTTCTCTGGGTCACTGTGCCTTAGCAGGATTTTGCTGTTGAGATAAAAAAGTATAATGCAAATGACTGACCTGTAAAAAAAACTAGGAGATTTGTCACTTTGATTGCTCAGTTATTTTAGATGAAATTATAATACTGTACAATGCCTGCACTTTAAAGGAGGAGTTTGGGATATTGGCAGTTTGGAGGGATGTGTTATATATGTTTATGGTTCTAAACTGTTGTATCTGGGCACCTCTGCATAAACAGTGATTATGTATGAGTGAGGTGAAAGTGTTGAATAATGATGAAAGTATATGATAGGGTGGATAGGGGGGCAATGTGGCAGATGTTGCAGGTGTATGGTATAGGAGGAAGGCTACTGAAAGCAGTGAAGAGTTTTTATGAGGATAGTGAGGCTCAGGTTAGAGTATGTAGGAGAGAGGGAGATTATTTCCCAGTAAAAGTAGACCTTAGACAATGTGATGTAGTTCAGCTGGGCTTGTGAGGTCTCTAGAGAGACCTAATTTAACCAATTATATGGTCACCTTGCCTTGGCAAATGTCTGCCCGAGACACGCCTTTCCGGCTAAAGTCTCAGCATCTTTGTTCGTCACCGGCGTCAGACCTAGGCGTCAGGTAGTACACGTGGTTGTGGGGTGTGCTTGGACAACGATATAAGCCCAGGGAACAGCCGAGCAAGGGGGTTGTTGGTGACAGGTCCGGGGAGCGAGAGCTCTGGACAGCCGCGTGTGTGGTGGACCACGCATTGGGAATCTAGGGTCAGCTGGTCGGTGAATTAAGAGTTGAGTACTAGTCCGTGTTACTGATAACATCTACCTTTCCCCCTGGTAATAAGTCTCATAGGTCAATTGTTATATTATGTAAATGTCCATCAGCATATGTTGTATTTTAGCCCTTTTATGTTATTAAGTAAACTATAGCCATAGTTCCCATTTTTTATTTTGTACCTCCATATGCTATTTCCTATTCTGTTAAGCACTGGGATACACAGGAGACGTGCTCACATGCTGGGATACCTCAGGTAGAGTGGGTAGAGGGCTCACATGGTGGCAGCGGTTTTCATTAAACGCTGCTCATGTGCTTTACGACTGGCCGGTTTTGGCTATCAAAACCAAATATTAATTTCTTTGTGTCGCCTATCATTTGTTTTACCGTTAACTGTGACCGTAAACTTAAGAATAGACCAGGACAATCCTACTCTTATGTTCAATATATTTATACATGGGGTTGCAAGAGAAGTGTATGCTTGGGTCTTGGCAAGAAGTGTGGAGTTAAAAGATAAAGAATCAAACACAAAGTGGGAGTTGTCACAGTTGCTCTTTGCTGATGACACTGCTTTTGGAAGATTCTGAAGAGAAGTTGCAGAGGTTCATGGATGAATTTGGTAGGGTATGCAAAAGAAGAAAATTAAAAGTGAATATGGGAAAGAGTAAGGTTATGAGGATAACAAAAAGATTAGGTGACGAAAGATTGAATATCAGATTGGAGGAAGAGAGTATGGAGGAGGTGAATGTATTCAGATATTTAGGAGTGGACATGTCAGCAGATGGGTTTATGAAGGATGAGATGAATCATAGAATTGATGAGGGGAAAAGGGTGAGTGGTGCACTTAGGAGTCTGTGGAGACAAAGAACTTTGTCTGTGGAAGCAAAGAGGGGAATGTATGAGAGTATAGTTGTACCAACACTTGTATGGATGTGAAACATGGGTGATGAATGTTGCAATGAGGAGAAGGCTGGAGACAGTGGAGATGTCATGTCTGAGGGCAGTGTGTGGTGTGAATATAATGCAGAGAATTCGTAGTTTGGAAATTAGGAGGTGTGGGATTACCAAAACTATTATCCAGAGGGCTGAGGAGGGGTTGTTGAGGTGGTTCGGACATGTAGAGAGAATGGAACAAAGCAGAATGACTTCGAGACTGTATAAATCTGTAGTGGAGGGAAGGCGGGGTAGGGGTTGGCCTAGGAAGGGTTAGAGAGAAGGGGTAAAGGAGGTTTTGTGTGTGAGCAGCTTGGACTTCCAGCAAGTGTGCGTGAGCGTATTTGAAAGGAGTGAATGGAGACAAATGGTTTTTAATACTTGACGTGCTGTTGGAGTGTGAGCAAAATAACATTTATGAAGGAATTCAGGGGAAACTGGCAGGCCGGACTTGAGTTCTGGAGATGGGAAGTACAGTGTCTACACTCTGAAGGAGGGGTGTTAATGTTGCAGTTTTATAACTGTAGTGTAAAGCACCCCTCTGGCAAGACAGTGATGAAGTGAATGATGATGAAAGTTTTTCTTTTTCAGGCCCCCCTGCCTTAGTGGGAATTGGCTGATGTGTAATAAAAAAATAAAATTTTGTTTTTGGGAATTTTTTTTTTTTTTGGGTCACCCTGCCTTGGTGGGAGACAGCTGACTTGTTGAAAAAAAAATAATTTTCACCGTTAGAATGTCTTAGGCACCTGTACAAACTGTGTACAATCATTGACATTCAGTAGGTAAATATAGGAGTTATTCTATTGCACATGTTTTGTTTGACATAATGACAATAAAATGAGAAAAATAAGCCCAGCCTATGCTGCCTATTTTTTTTGGAGAGGATGATTTCTTTCCCTTAGTGGTAAAACTGAGTTCCTTCTAGTACCTATATCCTATCAGAGGAACTACTTTTTTCACTGTTATCTTATAGCAGGAAAATTGTCTTAAAATAAAATTTTACATATCTTAAATTTTTCAGGTTGAGTTTTTATGGCAGATGGTCCTGCAGATGCTGGATTTGCTCTCCAGTAGACGTAATATAGAAGGTGTTGGAGACAGGACAGGTAAAGAGAGTGGAGTAGGATCAAAAGTTCTTGATCAGTCCCTGGAATTTCACTGTGTTGATAATATTGGACAAGGAAGGAACATTGATTTAAAGGAAGATGAAGAAGAGGAAGAGGAACTAGAAGATTTAAAAAGAAAAGGCTTCAAGTAAGTTGGTTGTTGTAGATTTTACAGTGGAATGCATTAGAGATTTATGGAAAAAATGGGTACAGCATAAATGATGTTAAAATGCCTGGGTAAGTAAATATTTGAAAGGAGCTTTATATAATGCCTTTTTACTGCTTGTGTAGTTGCTGTAGAAATTTAATAAATTCAGACAAAATGCAGGTTAATGCAATTTAACCCTTTGGGGGTCGCCAGGTCCTCTCAGGGTTGCCAAAATTTAAAAAAAAAATTATTTTTTCTTATGAAAAGATAGAGAATCTTTTCCTGATCATAATGACACCAAAAGTTTGAAATTTGATGGAAAACTTATGGAATTATGCTCTCGTGAAGTTAGCGGTCTTGATGATGTTTACGCATTGGCGATTTTGCCCACTTTGAGCCCCATTTTTGGCCAATTCCAGTGTACTAGTCGACAAAAATCATAACTATTTCGCTAGAACTCCATTTTTTCTATCGAATGAATACAAGAAACCACCCATTTACCGATTTCAACTATCCAATAAAGTGGTCAGAATTTAGCAATTTTGCCAATTTCACACAAATTTCAAAAGATGCTAATTTCCGAATAGGGTCCAGAATAAACAAGAAAGACATTCCTGGCACTAAAATAACAAGTTCTCTGTTCGTTAGTCACATCCCCAGGCCCCTCTTATACAGTGGACCCCCGGTTCACGATATTAATCCATTCCTGAGAGCTCATCGTAAACCAAAATTATCGGAAAGCGAATCAATTTTCCCCATAAGAAATAATGGAAATCAAATTAATCCGTGCAAGACACCCAAAAGTATGAAAAAAAAAAACTTTTACCACATGATATATTAAGTTTAATGCAATATAATAATTACAATAGCAATAATAACAATAGAATAATCACAATAGAATAATTGACACTTACCTTTAATGAAGATCTGGTGATGATTGATGGGATGGGAGGAGGGGAGAGTGTCGAAGTTTTTAATGTTTAGAAGGGGAATCCCCCTCCATTAGGACTTGAGGTAGCAAGTCCTTTTCCGGGGTTACTTCCCTACTTCTTTTAATGCCACTGGGACCAGCTTGAGAGTCACTGGACTTCTGTCGCACAACATATCTGTCCATAGAGGCCTGTACCTCTCGTTCCTTTATGACTTTCCTAAAGTGGTTCACAACATTGTCAGTGTACAGGTTGCCAACACAGCTTGCAGTAGCTGTGTCAAGGTGATTTTCATCAAAAAAGGTTTGCACTTCAAGCCACTTTGCACACATTTCCTTAATTTCATTAGCACCCTTGGTCTCGATGGGTTGGCACTAGAAGCTTTCTTGGGGCCCATGGTGACTTATTTTTGCAGAAAAAAGCACCAAAAACAGTGATAATATGGATAATATAGAATGTACCGAATGTATCCTTAGATGCGCGCACACTGGCTGGCTTGTAAACACTGGACACGTCTCGTACGAATCGTATCGCATACCGGGTTTTGTAATGGGAACCGAGGCAAATTTTTTGTGATATAACGGTTACCAATGACTTCGCGAACCGGGGGTCCACTGTATTTCTTCGGCTTTGCACTTTGAATTTTTATTCTTACAAAAAATAGAAGATTTACTCTTATGCAGAAATGGTATAAATAAGTGTAGAAATGGTATAAATAATAATATAATAATAATATAAAGAATATTAGACTCACCAGTTGACGTGTATTGGATGCTTGGCATGATTTGTTTACTTTTGAACTTTTGTAAAAATCGAACATTTCTGCTACTTGAGCTCAATTTCAAGGTACTTTTCATTGTAAAACCAATCAAAATCATCTCAATTTCTGTAATATGTCTTCCATTCTATAAAATGAGACCAGGAAAACTAGAATACAACAATAAATACCATACAAAAATACAGTGCAAAGTCTCTGTTTTAATCCAAAAACACGGTCTAAGTTTTTTTTCTCATTATGCACTGTGTACTGCAGGATTTTTTTTATACTGCGCGCACTGACCATATAGACCCATTCTTTCATGTGTAGGCCTACCAGTTTTCTCTTACTAGATTTGAGGGTGGTAGAATTTAGGCGTACTAGTACGTCAAAAACCCTGGGGCGTAAGCTGTACTAGTACGGCCGAAACCCCCAAAGGGTTAAAGTCAAATGCAGTTGAAAATTTGAATTAACATTTTTATTTATTATGTGCTATTACATTAGATTTATAGAAGATTTGAGGTGGGCCTTGGCAAAATATGATTACATGTATTCTTAAGATTGGCTCTTTGTTAATGCTTTTCACTGCTGAAATTACTGAAATTAAAAAGTTAAAAATTACATTATATTCCTTATTTTTTTTTATCATATCTAGTTATTATTACAGCATTATATTTATATTTTGTTTTTTAATCATCTTAAGTTGAACTTAAATATCTTTTTCCAAGTTCTCAATTTTTAGTGTAAATTTTAACACCAAGTTATGTTTTTAATTTTTAGTACATATATATTACATATATGTAAACAAAAAAAAATGTATATGTCACCCTACCTAGGTGGGAGATGGCCGACTTGTTAAAAAAAAAATGTATATGTATACACGTATGCCACATGTACAGGCATGCCCCGCTTATACAGCAGGTTAGGTTCCGTGCTACTGCTGTAGAGTGAAAATCGCTGTAAAATGAATCATAGTTTTTTTTGTTTTTTCCTTTTATGTTTTTTCACTTTTAAATGAATATAAAAGCCTGATACATGTAACATGTTTACACTATCATATATTAAGTGAGCAATAGAGCTAGGCTTTAAAAATGCATATGCAGTACACACATTACTTACCTTTAAATATTTTCATTAGCCTATAGTGAGTGGTGAATATATTTATTATAGGAAGTCTGAATAAATGAAGAATGGGTATAATTAAAAACTGCTGTATTAGCAAAATGCTGTGAAGTGAAGTGCTGTAAAGCAGAGTCCTCCTATATTGTTCATTTTCTATTATTAGTATAAGTCCTTCCCTAAGTCTGACCCAAATGCATTCCATAACTATGGGCTTTTCCATATAAAAGATAAACATTGTAAACCTGCCTTTGTAACTTATGTGTCTGCTTGGAAAATAAATAGTGTGTTGTATTGTATTTAGTTTTAGTTGTATGGAGTCTGATTGAGAGAGAATTTGAAACTAATGTATTTTGTTCAGGTTTTTACCAGCAACTCCACTACATTTGGTAGAAAAAGATGGAGAAAAGTCTGAACATCGTGTTTCATTGCTGATGAAAAATGGCGAGATGTTTGGGGCAAAAGATGACTTTAGAATCAACAGGTCATACTTGACACCCATGGGAATGTTGTGCATGGAAGTGCCATCAGAAATTTTACGTGACACTGCCCTGAGGCTCCTGAATTCGCCAGTTCTTATAGTGAGTTGATATTGCCTTTTATAAATATGATAATTTAACTGGCTTTTATTTATTTTTAAATTAAAATGTGTGGTAGTCTTAAGGCAGTAGATTAAATTTCTCAGTTTACTTGTACACTATTAAGTCCTATCTTGCATTCTTTGAGAACCCTTGAAAACGACTTTATTGGGACCCTGGGACTTTGTTTTGGGGTGGGTTGATAGCCAGGAGTCTGTTGATCTTATTGGATTCATCATAGACATGCAGCTCTTCCTGTATATTAGAATGATAGATGGACTGACTGGTGTCACTCCCTCAATCCCAAATCAGTGAAGTTCATTTGAAGTACATATTTTTGTTCTTTCTCTGTCATAAATGCAGCATGTACATTGCTTTTTAATTCTGATCTCTTCTGTCCAGAAAAAAATTGTAGTATTTCAAGAGACTAGCTTGAATTACTCTAGAGTTTAATTTCACCATTGACCAAATGATGATGTCTTTTACAATGTAAATGTGTATTTGTCTCTATATTATAGAATGAATATTGGTCATTGTTAGCAACTTATATTTGTAATAGAATTTTTTTTTATGACCACTATAAAATGACTGATTGTCAGACACTACATAGAAATAAATTCTACCTTTTTTTAGTGTTGAAAAAAAGGAATAAAGAAACAGCTAAAGAAATGAACACTAAGAGAGATTTTCCATTTGTTTTTACTGCAGGAGGAAACCGAAGCTGCACCTGCTTCTCTTGAGCCTCCACCAGTTGAGGCACCTCCTCAAGATGTACCTGATGAAATAATTGGTGAGCACTATTCTTTATTAATAAGAAATTTAAATATTTTAGATTAAGTGGCAAGACTTGTTTGGGTTAGTTTGGCAATAAGGAATTTAAACCTTCTTTCAACAAACCAGCTGTGTCCCACCAAGGCAGGATGGCCCAAAGAGAAAAACAGAAGTTTCTTTTCATAACTTTTGTAATGTATACAGGAGAAGGAGTTACTAGCCCCTTGCTCCCAGCATTTTACTCTCCTCTTACAACACTCATAGCTTACGGATGAAGAATTCTGCTCCATTTCCCCATGGAGAAATGAATTTATATGTTTGTGATTGTTGTCGGAATGGTAGATAGAGTGGTTTAGGGAAATAGCTACATATTAAAGTAGGATTATGGAAGATAAATATGTTACCATGGAGCTGGTAAGATTTCAGAGTAGTATATACCTTTACTCTTTAGCATGTGAGTGTAAAACATGGATGTGGAGCAATAGAGGTTGGTCGCATTCTTAGGCTCTCGATATGAAATATCTCATAAAACTGTGGTATAAGTATGTATGTAGATTCTGGGGATCATTGGCCCTGCAGCCTAGTCCTAAACCAGGCTTGATTGATGGCCTGATCAACCAGGCTACTCTTACTAGTAGCACATAGGGCATTGTAAGCATCATAACGTGGCTGATCAGGAGCTAAATTAAAGACCTTTTTAAGTTTCCTCATGAAGACAGCTGGTAATTTCCCTTATATATGAAGGGAGAGTATTGAAGTTTTGAGCTCTTTATACTTACTGAATTATATCTTAATGTTCTTATTGCACCCTTGCTCTTCATATACGTAATTTATACCATCTTCTCAGGAAAGCAACTAATGGGATACTGCACACATATAACACAAGGGGCATAAAGCAAGCTTGATTATCACATTCAGGTTTGGCTGCCCCCATATTATTTGTCTAGCAGATGCTAGTAGATTTAAAAAAAAAATATTTGCCTCAAAATATGTGGCATAGATTACCTTTTATGATCAGTATGTTCACTATATTTATAGAAATTATGTGTGACAGTGGAACCATACATTTTGTTAATCATTTACATTTAGCCCGTTTGTTCATAAAAAAAAATGAAAAAAAAAAAATTTGACTCCTAGAATCGCAGGAGGTAGCAGAACCCTGTTTTTCTGCTTGCTATTCAGCCAGATTACAAAATGGAGGTGTGCTGAATGCCAGTAATAAGATCATCGTATCTGTCATCATAACCCATACTTTTGAAAAAATGTAATGTTTGCAGTGAGTATATTGGTGCAAAAGAATAAACATTGTTGATGAATTCACAAAAACTGAAATATGTACATAATAATTTTTGATGTCCTCTCATCTTGCATAGCATCTCTCATCATCCCAGTCACCTACTTATAGTGCTCAGGTCGCAGATGTGATTTCCTCAAAATGTCGTCTGTGTCAGCTACATCATTAATATTTCTTAAAATATTAAGCGAAACTGAATCTGTAAAATATAAAATGTACTTAAAATACACAACAAGCCCTTCACTAAAACTTTGCATATTTCAAATCAGATTTTAGAATACCATGAGGTTTTAGGAATGACTTTAAAATACAGACTTTTCATTTGACTCTCATGATTCACAAGTCATCAACAGTCAGCCTGACAGGTACCTGCTGTTGCAGCTATTTTTATTCTGAAACCAGCAGTATCAACAATGAATATTACTTGTTATTTCAAGTTGTATTCAGTCATGCTTACAAATTTGCAGGGGGGATTACATCTCTAGATGTTTCATGCAACTAGAAGCTATAAATAATACAATATTAAGTGTGTTTTCTTCTTCTTATTCTTTTTAGTAATCTTTACAGGAAAAGGGGTTACTAGCCCATTGTTCCCGGCATTTTAGTTGACTTTTACAACACGCATGGCTTACGGAGGAAAGATTCTTATTCCACTTCCCCATGGATATAAAAGGAAAAGTAATAAGACCAAGAACTATTAAGATAAAAATCAAAGAAAACTCAGATGAGTGTGTATAAATAAATGTGTACATGTATGTATAGTGTGACCTAAGTGTAAGTAGAAGTAGCAAGACATGCCTGTAATCTTGCATATTTATGAGACAGACAAAAGACATCAGCAATCCTACCATCATGTAAAACAATCACAGGCCTTCGTTTTACACTCACTTGGCAGGACGGTAGTACCTCCCTGGGTGGTTGCTGTCTACCAACCTACTACCTTTATTTATTTATACGTTTATTTATACACACTCATCTGAGTTTTCTTTGATTTTTATCTTAATAGTTCTTGGTCTTATTACTTTTCCTTTTATATCCATGGGGAAGTGGAATAAGAATCTTTCCTCCGTAAGCCATGCGTGTTGTAAAAGTCAACTAAAATGCCGGGAACAATGGGCTAGTAACCCATTTTCCTGTAAAGATTACTAAAAAGAATAAGAAGAAGAAAATTGTCAAAGTGGGAAGTCTGAATGTGCGTGGATGTTGTGCAGATGATAAGAAAGAGATGATTGTGGATGTTATGAATGAGAAGAAGCTGGATGTCCTGGCTTTAAGTGAAACAAAGCTGAAGGGGGTGGGAGAGTTTCAGTGGAGAGGAATAAATGGGATTAGGTCAGGGGTTTCAAATAGAGTTAGAGCTAAAGAAGGAGTAGCAATAATGTTGAAGGATAAGCTATGGCAGGAAAAGAGGGACTATAAATGTATTAATTCAAGGATTATGTGGCGTAAAATAAAGATTGGATGTGAAAAGTGGGTTATAATAAGCGTGTATGCACCTGGAGAAGAGAGAAGTGTAGAGGAGAGAGAGAGATTTTGGGAAATGTTGAGTGAATGTGTGGGGAGTTTTGAATCAAGTGTGAGAGTAATGGTGGTTGGGGATTTCAATGCTAAAGTGGGTAAAAATGTTATGGAGGGAGTAGTAGGTAAATTTGGGGTGCCAGGGGTAAATGTAAATGGGGAGCCTTTAATTGAGCTATGTGTAGAAAGAAATTTGGTAATAAGTAATACATATTTTATGAAAAAGAGGATAAATAAATATACAAGGTATGATGTAGCACGTAATGAAAGTAGTTTATTAGATTATGTATTGGTGGATAAAAGGTTGATGGGTAGGCTCCAGGATGTACATGTTTATAGAGGGGCAACTGATATATCGGATCATTATTTAGTTGTAGCTACAGTTAGAGTAAGAGGTAGATGGGAAAAGAGGAAGGTGGCAACAACAAGTAAGAGGGAGATGAAAGTGTATAAACTAAGGGAGGAGGAAGTTCGGGTGAGATATAAGCGACTATTGGCAGAAAGGTGGGCTAGTGCAAAGATGAGTAGTGGGGGGGTTGAAGAGGGTTGGAATAGTTTTAAAAATGCAGTATTAGAATGTGGGGCAGAAGTTTGTGGTTATAGGAGGGTGGGGGCATGAGGAAAGAGGAGTGATTGGTGGAATGATGAAGTAAAGGGTGTGATAAAAGAGAAAAAGGTAGCTTATGAGAGGTTTTTACAAAGCAGAAGTGTTATAAGAAGAGCAGAGTATATGGAGAGTAAAAGAAAGGTAAAGAGAGTAGTGAAAGAGTGCAAAAGGAGAGCAGATGATAGAGTGGGAGAGGCACTGTCAAGAAATTTTAATGAAAATAAGAAAAAAATTTGGAGTGAGTTAAACAAGTTAAGAAAGCCTAGGGAAAATATGGATTTGTCAGTTAAAAACAGAGTAGGGGAGTTAGTAGATGGGGAGATGGAGGTATTGGGTAGATAGCGAGAATATTTTGAGGAACTTTTAAATGTTAAGGAAGAAAGAGAGGCAGTAATTTCATGCACTGGTCAGGGAGGTATACCATCTTTTAGGAGTGAAGAAGAGCAGAATGTAAGTGTGGGGGAGGTACGTGAGGCATTACGTAAAATGAAAGGGGTAAAGCAGCTGGAACTGATGGGATCATGACAGAAATGTTAAAAGCAGGGGGGGATATAGTGTTGGAGTGGTTGGTACTTTTGTTTAATAAATGTATGAAAGAGGGGAAGGTACCTAGGGATTGGCGGAGAGCATGTATAGTCCCTTTATATAAAGGGAAAGGGGACAAAAGAGACTGTAAAAATTATAGAGGAATAAGCTTATTGAGTATACCAGGAAAAGTGTACGGTAGGGTTATAATTGAAAGAATTAGAGGTAAGACAGAATGTAGGATTGCGGATGAGCAAGGAGGTTTCAGAGTGGGTAGGGGATGTGTAGATCAAGTGTTTACATTGAAGCATATATGTGAACAGTATTTAGATAAAGGTAGGGAAGTTTTTATTGCGTTTATGGATTTAGAAAAGGCATATGATAGAGTGGATAGAGGAGCAATGTGGCAGATGTTGCAAGTATATGGAATAGGTGGTAAGTTATTAAATGCTGTAAAGAGTTTTTATGAGGATAGTGAGGCTCAGGTTAGGGTGTGTAGAAGAGAGGGAGACTACTTCCCGGTAAAAGTAGGTCTTAGACAGGGATGTGTAATGTCACCATGGTTGTTTAATATATTTATAGATGGGGTTGTAAAGGAAGTAAATGCTAGGGTGTTCGGGAGAGGGGTGGGAATTAAATTTTGGGGAATCAAATTCAGAATGGGAATTGACACAGTTACTTTTTGCTGATGATACTGTGCTTATGGGAGATTCTAAAGAAAAATTGCAAAGGTTAGTGGATGAGTTTGGGAATGTGTGTAAAGGTAGAAAGTTGAAAGTGAACATAGAAAAGAGTAAGGTGATGAGGGTGTCAAATGATTTAGATAAAGAAAAATTGGATATCAAATTGGGGAGGAGGAGTATGGAAGAAGTGAATGTTTTCAGATACTTGGGAGTTGACGCGTCGGCGGATGGATTTATGAAGGATGAGGTTAATCATAGAATTGATGAAGGAAAAAAGGTGAGTGGTGCGTTGAGGTATATGTGGAGTCAAAAAACGTTATCTATGGAGGCAAAGAAGGGAATGTATGAAAGTATAGTAGTACCAACACTCTTATATGGGTGTGAAGCTTGGG